AAACAAGACCCGTCTCACGTTAGACAAAGGCTCCCAGATTACAGGAAAAGTACCGGGGCTAAAATGCGTCCATGGTTTAATTTAACAACGCTGTTCTGCTATTTAAAACAACGGTGATTAGATTATGTCTCCCACGAAACGCAGCTACGACTACATAATAGTTAGATGTTGCCCTAAACGTTGTGGCCCTCTGCGGCATGGATGTTAGCCTACTGTTAGCCTCTAATGCAGGGGGTGAAAAACTCGTTCTGTTTTCGGGGTCACATACGGCCCGGCTTTGATGTCAAGTGGGCCGAACCAGTACTATTAAGAAAACAATTACCTATATATAACTATAAGTCCATGCCCCCCCCCCTTCAAATCTTCCTTCAAATTAGCACAAGAACAACAGAATATATTTATATTTAATGAAACATTATTTGACAACACATCATCAACCTGTGATTGAACTCTCCAGCGGGCCGGTTTTGGCCTGTGGGCCGTATGTTTGACACCATTGATCTAATGTATACGGACCATGTAGTTGGAACATGGTTAAGTTTTTAGCATTAATGCTACAGGAGTTATAGATTTTTACTCGTCGTTTGCCACAGAGTTCACACATATTTTTGGATTCGTGGACATAAACAAATACTTGACATGTTACATGGTGATACTGTAAGCCAGACTTTTTGGGTTAGTGGCACAAAAAAATGACAGATATGTGTGTGTGTGTGAGTAAGTGTGAGTGTATTTGTGGAATAATATCCTGTTTACCTGACAGGTAGTAGCTAGCATTCCCAGAAAGATCAGGTTGAGATTAAAAATAACAACACGCTGCCCTACTTTTGGCCACTGGTGATTGTAGAAAACGTATTGATAAAGACCAGACAGGGAGCTCTACCAATGCAGTAATTAATAGTGTCTGAAGAGCGCCATCTAGTGATTCAACTGGACTGTTTTTTTGTTGTTGTTTTTTTTACCAATGAATGACGGACCAGTTTCTGAAGAGCGCCATCTAGTGATTCAATGGTAAAATGGTAAAACGCATGTTAATAGATGATGTTTTTTTTACCAATGAATGACGGGCCAGTCAAAGAAAGCCTTGCGGGCTGTACGTAGCCCGCAGGCCATAGTTTGCCCTTGACTGTTCTCAGCTGTAGTCATATGATTTAGGGCGGTTTCCTTTAGTGTGTGCAGCAACAGCAAGTGGAATAACTGTTCCAATGGTCTGGAATCCGGATGATTGACTTTGCCAGTTAAAAACGTTTAATAGTCGGGTCATAAAATCTCTGCCCAATTGCTCTCCTTTGAAGATTAGAATTATTGCCCAACTTTATTATCCTATACGTACGGGACGGCCATTCCAAATGGCTACAGTGGCTG